CAGAAAAGAGGACCCAGACAGAGAATAGCATCCTCAGCCTGAAGGAATTGGTGATGGACAAAGGTAAGGGAGAGGGGAATAGGTGCCTGGGTTCTTTTTTCCTCCCGTTTGTCAATCATTAAAAATGGAAGGACTAAAGCTGGTCTTAGTAAGCAAAGAAAGGAAGACAAAAAAAACAAAAAAAAACAACCCTATATCCTTGAAAATGAAAATGACTCAATATGGAGAAGAAAAGACTCCTTGTAACTGGAGCCTGGAGCCAAGCAAGATTGAGAGGCCCCCAGTTCAAGGCCCAGTACTAGGGCTTTGGGGGGAAAATGAAGCAAAAGATCCAGCACATATAGATGGCCAAGGGAAAAACCTGAAGAGCAACAAGAACTAAGAAAAAAATAGGAAGTGAAGCATAGATAGACAAAAAGCTGAGTATGGTGGAAACATAACAAAAATACCACTGTGCCTGCAATGAAATTAGCAAAAGATCCAGGAACCACATTACTAAAATCACAATGGTAAATAATATGAGATTGTCTCTGCCTTGCTAGTAAGGCTGAGGGCAAAAGCCTAAAATAATGAAAGTAAATATTTAAAATAGTAGCTTGTCAACTAAATATATGATGAAATCATACAGAAAGTTTTTTTTAAAAATAAGGTCTCTCGGGCTGGGAAGGTGGCTCAGTGATAGAGTGCTTGCCTTGCATGCATGAGGCCCTGGGCTTGATTCCTCAGCACCACATAAGCAAAAAGAAAAAAAGCCGGAAGTGGTGCTTTGGCTCAAGTGGTAGAGCGCTAGCCTTGAGCTGAAGAGTTGAGGGACAGTGCCCAGGCCCAGAGTTCAGGCCCCACGACCGGATTACCCCCCAACCCCCCCAAAAAAGGTTTCTCTGTTTAGGCTGGTCTGAATGTTACAGTGTATGCCAGGCTGGTCTTTAAGTCACAATCCTCCTGCCTCTGCCTTCCAAGTTACTGGGGCTACAGGTGGGCTGGTATTGCATGTCCCAATCATCTTCTGACTTTAGCTCTGAAGTAGTTTTGTATTAAGGATTCTGTGTAGCCTAATGCAGGTTGTCCAGGGACCACAATTTGAGAAGCATGGACCTAAAGGTCTGAAAAACTGCTTTGAATAAATGTACCCAAAGCTAATAGCAATTAGCAATTCATTTTCAGCAGAGTTTTCATATGGGGCTGTGCAAGAGATCATCTCATGGGGAGAGATATAATAGTGGGAATTGAAATAAATCAGTACTTTGGAAGATTTCTCCTGAGAATGTCTGTTGGCCCAACAAGTTCACCTCTAAATATCACCACAGTGAATTCCAAGAAGTAACAAGAAAGAAGGGAATGCAGGGTAAGAAAGTCTAGGACAGGTCCCTTACCCACAGAAACATTCCACTAGGGCCAGGACGAGGGACAACATGACAGATGGAGAACAATCTATACTTATTTGTATTCACGGACATACCCTTACTTTATGTTCCAGATAAAAATTCACTGCTTGTCTTAAATGGTAGTTACATACAGCCCAGCTGGGGGACTGGAGGTATGGGTATTCTGTGTAATGAAACCATAACCAGGATGGAGGAAGAGACCTAGATAGCAAATTTGCTCTCGTTTCCAGCATTTTCACCAACAGAACAAAAAGGTTCTAGTCAGACTCTGTTCTCTGAGGCATGCCTTCTGGCCACTATGTTGTCAGTGGTCTTAAGTGGTCTTTTGGACTCTTCCAGACTACTCTAGCTGAGCTTCCCCACATCCCATTGGGCTTATTGGCTAGGGTTTATGTAAACAGAAAGCAAACATTTGGATAGTTCTCTAATTAGATAATATTTAAGCTCTGTTCAAATCTAAGAACCTGTGAATTAGTTCCCTCAGTACTCTGTGTAGTTTATGACATTTATGGTTCAGTGCACTTGTTGGTGCGCTTCTTTAGTTGTGTATGTTTAATATACTCAGTTGGGTTCAATGTTAAACTCCTTAGGGGCATATCCCCCAGGGTCCATCATTTTCTTTTCTTTTTTTTTGGTTATGGGGCTTGAACACTGAGCCTGGGTGCTGTCCCTAAGCTCTTCAGCTCAAGGCTAGGGCTCTACCCCTTGAACTACAACGCCACTTCCAGTTTTCTGGTGGTTTATTGGAGATAAGAGTCTCATGGACTTTCCTGCCTGGGCTGGCTTTGAATCGTGATCCTCAGATCTCAGCCTCCTGAGGATTGCAGGTGTGAACCACTGGCACCTGGCCAGGGTCCATCATTTTCTTTCTTTTTGTTTTTTGGGGTCTGGTCATGGGGCCTGAACTCTGGGCCTGGGCACTGTCCCTCAGCTCTTCAGCTCAAGGCTAGCACTCTACCACTTGAGCCATAGCACCACTTCCGGCTTTTTTCTTTTTGCTTATGTGGTGCTGAGGAATTGAACCCAGGGACTCAGGCATGCAAGGCAAGTGCTCTACCACTGAGCCAACTTCCCAGCCCCAGGTCCATCATTTTCTGCTATGCAGAAATGCCTAGAATGGAAATCTGTGTGTATGAGAGACAGAGAGAAAGAGGCAGGCTCGCGCACACACGAAGGAAGAAAGAGGGGAGGGAAGGGGAGAGGAGGGGAGGGGAGGAAAGGGGAGGGAAAGGGAAGGGAAGGGAAATACAAACAGACACTACTGGGGCTTGAACTTAGCCTTGTGTTCTCACTCAGCTTGCTTGACTGGCCCTACCTCTGGAGCCAGGCCTCCAGTCTGGCATTTCGCTGGTTAATTGGAGACAGTCTTCAAGACTTTTCTGCCCAGGCTGCCTAATTCCTTTAAGGTCTCAGCCTCCTGAGTAGCTAAAATTATAGGCATTAAGCTACCATCACCCAGCTAGAATTTTTTTTTTAATTTTTTTGTTGGTCATAGGACTTGAACTCAGGGCCTAGACACGGTCCCTGAGCTTTTCTGCTAGAGGCTAGCATTATCTGGTGTGGTTAATTGGAGATAAGTCTCACAGACTTTCCTGCAGAGGCTGGCTTTGAACTATGATCTTCAGATCTCAGTCTCCTGAGTAGCTAGAATTGCAGGTATAAGGTCACTAGCACCCAGAGAAATCATTTAAAGAAAAACTAGAGGTAGGATCTGTTAGATGTCTCAATCGGAAAAAGCACACCACACACATCCGAGGGTGGGTGGGTGGGGGAGTTTAATGCCAGAAAGACTGGCAGACTGTCTCCATCAGGACAGACAGGAGCAGCTGCTGTTAAATTAGGGAGGGGTACTTATAGGGGAGGGAGCCTGAATTACTAGGATCACAGGCATGCCACTACCACATCCAGCTTTCTTCCATGGAGATAGGAGTTTTCAGCACTTTTCTGCCCAGGTTGGGCTGCAATCTTGATACTCGGCTTCCTGTACAGCTTGGGATAATAGGTAAGCATCACTGTGTCCAGTCATACATAGGCTGAGAAAGGACCTCATGAACTTTCCTGTCTAGGCTGGTAATTGTATAACTGCCTCCCATTTTAGCCTTCCAAATACCTCAGTGGATCACACCTGTAATCTATTCAAGAGGATAAGCCAGCCTAGGCAGGAGAGTCTATGGGACTAATCACCAAAAAAAGCCAAAATGGACCTATGGCTCAAATGGTAGAGTGCTAGCCTTGAGCAACAGAGCTTAGGTATAGTGCCCAGGCCCTGAGCTCAAATCCCAGGACCAGCACAAACGAACAAATTACCCCTAGATTACAGGTGTGAGCCATTGGCACTGCTTCAAAACCAATTTAAGGTCTGTGAACGTGGTTCAGTGGTAGAGCGCTTGCCTTGCATGTCTGAGGCCCTGGGTTCGATTCCCCAGCACCACATAAGCAGAAAAAGCTGGAAGTGGAGCTGTGGCTCAAGTGGTAGAGCGCTAGCCTTGAGCTGAAGAGCTGAGGGACAGCACCCAGGCACATAGTTCAGGCCCATGACTGACAAAACAAAACAAACCCCAACTTAATATTACTATAAAAGGTTCTTTTTTGTGCCAGTATTGAGGCTTGAACTCAAGGCCTTGGCACTCGTTTGCCTTTTTCTCTGGAGCTCTATCCCTTCTGGCTTTTTGCTGGTTACCTGGAGATAAAAGTCTCTCAAGTTTGTATGTCAAGGCTGGCTTTTTTTTTTTGGCCTGTTGTGGGGCCTGAACTCTGGGCCTGGGCGCTGTCCCTCAGCTCTTCAGCTCAAGGTTAGCCCTCAACCACTTGAGCCACAGCGCCACTTCTGGCTTTTTCTCCTTATGTGGTACTAAGGAAATGAACCCAGGGCCTCATGCATGCAAGACAAGCACTCTACCACTGAGCCACCTTCCCAGCCCTCAAGGCTGGCTTTGAGGATTTCACAGATCTGATCCTCCTGAGTAGTGAGGAATATGGGTTAAAGCCATTGGCATCTGGCTAAAAAAAAAAACAAATAACCATATACACACACACATATAAAAATATATATAAATATATACAAATATATAAATATATATAACTATATACATAAATATTTTTATTATTTTGTTGGCTGTGGGGCTTGAACTCAGGGCCTAGGCACTGTCCCTGAGCTTTTTCGTTCAATGCTAGTATTCTACTACTTTGAGTCACAAAGTGGCTACTTCTGGTTTTGTGGGGGATAACTGGAGATAAGAGTCTCATGGACTTTCCTGCCTGGGCTGGCTTCAAACCACAATCATCAGAACTCAGCCTCCTGAGTAGCTAGGATTACAGGTGTGAGCCACTGGTTCCCTCTCTGCTCCTTGAATTTTTTATGTGTCTCGGCATTAACAGTTTCATGTTGAGGTAAGGAAATAGTTTTGTTTTTGTTTTTTAATCTGAAATTACTCTCGGCTACCTCTAAATAGTCTAGGACATTCAAATGTGAGGCCTGTTGATCATGGATAGGCTGCACTAGAGCTATGACCATGACAGCTCAGGTCTTGGTTGGTAGATCCAACTGTTGACTTTCATCACTCTGCTAGGCCTCAGAGAACCTCATATACTAAATGCGTAAGTAATGGCACTCACCCTCATGGATGTTTCACCACCATGAGCCTGTTGCAGTCTGAAGACCTGGGCTACCATGTGTTCCGTGGAGGGATGCAGTAGGATCCTTCTTGAGGCCAAGCCCACCATTACATATCTGCCCATTGGAGACAAGCTCACTGAAATGGCATTGGGACCTAAGGACCAAAAGAACAGAGACATTTCCTAAAGTACTTGCCTATCCAAAGAACAGCTTTCACTCTTTTATCTTTTCTCTGATGTTTATATTCACTTGATCACTTTGACCTTATCTTATAGGAATGCAGTGAGTATACATATATACAGTAGTCTGCTTAGTATTCAATGCTAACCACTGTTAGTACATTACATTTTAAAATTGTAAAAAGCATAGTTATAATTATACCTCAAAGTTTTGTTTTTCTTTTTGTCGGTTATGGGGCTTGAACTCTGGACCTGGGTATTGTCCCTCAGCTCTTCAGCTCAAGGCTAGCGCTCTACCACTTGAGCCACAAAGCCACTTTCAGCTTTTTTCTTTTTGCTTATGTGGTGCTGAGGAATTGAACCCAGAGCCTCAGGCATGCAGGGTAAGCACTCTACCACTGAGCCACCTTCCCAGACCCATTATTAATTATTCTTTAAGAGCATTTTTTTGGGGGAAGTATTGGAGTCTGAACTCAAGGCTTTGTACTTGCTAGGTAGGTGTTCTGCTGCTAAGCCATGCCTACAACTCTAAAAGCATGTGTATGTGTGTTGGTACCACAGTTTGGACTCAGGATTTCATGCTCTCACTTGGCCTTTTCATTCACGGCTAGTGATCTACCACAAGTCACACATCCAATTCCAGCTTTTTCCTGGAGAAAGATATTCTCATGAACTTTTCGGTGTAGGCTGCTTCAAACCTCTATTCTCAGGTTGCAACGTTCTTTTCTTTTCTTTCTTTCTTTTTTTTTTGTCGGTTGTGGGCCTGAACTCTGGGCCTCGGTGCTGTCCCTCAGCTCTTCAGCTCAAAACTAGCGCTCTACCACTTGACCCACAGCACCACTTGCAGTTTTCTGCTTATATGGTGCTGAGGAATCCAACCTAGGGCCTCATGCATGCAAGGCAAGCATTCTACCACTGAGCCACCTACCCAGGCCTCAGATTACAAATTTCTAAGCAGCTAGGATGATAGACATGAATCATCAGTACTCAGCTATAAGTGTGTATGTGCATACTTGTATGTATGTTTGTATGTGTATTTGTGTGCATACTGTCCTGGGGTTTGAACTCAGGGCCTGGGTGCTGTCCAAGGTTATGCTATGCTCAAGGTTAGCACTCTACCACTTGAACCACAGCTCCACTTGTGCTTTTTTTTGGCAGTTAATTGGGAGATAAGTATTTCACAGACTTTCTTGCCCAGGATGGCTTCTAACTGCAGCCCTCAGATCTCAGCCTCCCAAGTAGCTAGGCATAAGCCTTTTTTTTTTTTGGGTCCGGTCGTGGGGCCTGAGCTCTGGGCCTGGGCGCTGTCCCTCAGCTCTTCAATTCAAGACTAGCGCTCTACTACCTGAGCCACAGCGCCACTTCTGGCTTTTTTTTCTTTTTGCTTATGTGGTGCTGAGGAATTGAACCCAGGGCCTCAGGCATGCAAGGCAAGCACTCTACCACTGAGCCACCTTCCCAGCCCCTATTTTTTATTTTTGTTGACCATGGTGCTTGAACTCTGGGCCTGGGCTCTGTCCCTGAGCTCTTCAGCTCAAGACTAGCACTCTACCACTTGAGCCACAGCACCACTTCCTGTTTTCTGGTAGTTAATAGGAGATAAGAGTCTTAGATTTTCTTGCCCGGGCTGGCTTTGAACCGCGATCCTCAGATCTCAGCCTCCTGAGTAGCTAGGATTACAGGCCTGAGCCACCAGCGCCCGGCAGCTTTTTTGTTTTTTAAAGATTGGGTCTCAAATAAACTGTGTAGCCTAGGCTAGCCTCAAACTTGTGATTCTTCTGCAGCATTGCAAGTTCTGGAATTATAGGTATGTATATTATGTATAGGTAGTAGGCATCACTACACTCAGTGTTTTTTTTTTTTTAAATACAAAATGCCAACCTGTCTTGTAGTGTTCAAGCTCCAAGGCCAGTATGTGTGCATGTGGCACTTGTGCGCGCACGCGCGCGCGCGCGCGCGCACACACACACACACACACACACACACACACACACACACACGGCTCTTTTCTTATTGTCAGACTTATTCTGAGTTTTGTTTTTTTTTTTTGCAATGCTCCAATCCTTTTCTGGCCTGTGCTTCAAGAAAGGTAGAGGTAGTGGGACCATTCCTCTCACTCAGTCTGTGCCTCACCTAGGAATACCCAAAACAAGCACCAAAGTCCCTCTGCCTTTAGGTTGAGCTTCTTTTTTTTTTTTTTTTAGGTTGAGCTTCTTATGCCTTACCAAATCTCTTGGTATAAAGCATTTCCCCCAGGTTATGAGGAGCCAGGGAGTACACTGCCAAGATGCCTTCATCAGGAAAGCCCCTCTGGCTGCTAGGGATGAAAGCTGCCAGGAGTTGTCCATCTGCAGAAATATCACAGCTGGCATCATTGTAGATCTTGCAGTTCTGTACCAGCACATTCACAGAGGCTGTGTTGGACAAAGAGAGGAAATATGGTAAGAAAGTATACAGCTGATGTTGTAAGAAATGTGAGACTAAGAAATTTTGTGGTTAGGGCTGGGAAGGTAGCTGGGAAGGTAGAGCGCTTGTCTTGCATGCCTGAGGCCCTGGGTTCGATTCCCCAGCACCACATAAGCAAAAAGAAAAAAAAAGCCGGAAGTGGCGCTGTAGCTCAAGTGGCAGAGTGCTAGCTTGAGCTGAAGAGCTGAGGGACAGCACCCAGGCCCAGAGTTCAAGCCCCACG